TCAACATATTCTGTTACACCAAATACACAAAATAATGATCTTTAAAAAAGCATCATATGACCCCTTTAAAGCAATAGTTCACCTAAAAATAAGAATTTGCTAAAAAATGGACTTACCTATAGGCCATCCAAGATATAGATGAATTTGTTTCTTCATCGGAACAGATTTGGAGAAATTCAGCATTGCATCACTTGCTCACCAGTGGAACCTCTGCAGTGAATGGGTGCCGACAGCACCAGTTCAAACAGCTGATTAAAAACATCACAATAATCCACAAGAAATCCACACAATTCCAGTCCATCAGTTCACATCTTGTGAAGCAAAAAGCTGCATGTTTGTAAGAAATTAATCCATTCTTTAAACCAGGGGTGTCTAAGGGGTTGAATTTAAACTCTGCAGGGCTCCGGCCCTCCAGGAACTGCTTTAAACCATTGGTTTTGGCCAAAATACTAGTCCATAATCCATAATAACGCTTCTACCAGTGAAAAAGTCCTGTTGTCCTCTCACATCAAAACCCACCAACATATATATTTGTTTAGAACTGTTTTTGTCTGTTTTCACTTGTAAACGGTGCTTGGTTTGTGGACATTTCTCTCCTATAATGTGAAAGCAATATTATGGATAGAGGACTCATATTTTAGCCAGAAGCATCCGTTTTGCATTTAGCCAATAAGATCTTTAAAGAGATATTTACCAAATTTGCTATTACTGTAACACTAACCCATGCATAACTGGCATAAAAGCATTTTTAATGGTCAAAGTCTCTCTCATAATAGTGTTGACTCTTTTCATATCATCTTAATTAGTAAGTGATTGATGGAGGTCCTCCTTTCAAGGTCAACTGATGCATGCATTGTTATTTTTATTTTTGTTGAAAATGCATTTGATAAACACGCAAGTCAGTTGCAGATCATAAATAAAATGCCCAATATTTCAGAATCACATTGATAAGGTTTTATACATTAATACAGAAAATGACGACTCTGCATATCTAGCTTTTTGATGTAAAAATCATGATATGATACTCTGCATGTCTTTTGAAAAAGTTCTCAGGTCATGGTCATACATACACGTGACCTGACAAAAAATCCCTCACAAACCAAAAACGCGTCTCACCTCCTGATCGCTCTTATAGCTCTTTCTCATGTTACTCAGATCCATGTTGGTGCCGCTGTCCGTAAATTTCCTGCAGAAAAACGAGGTAAATGACGGAGTACTGCGGATTGTCAATGTAACACTGGGCTCAATAAACTTCACAATATTGCCGATGTTCCTGGACGTGAAGAAGCGCGATTGATATTTCATGCCTGCAACTCCAAACCTGCGTCATCACGTTCGTGCTCTTACGTAAAATGTTATGAAAACGTATTCGGTTTTGTAACTAACCTCTAATTTTGGAATGAACAAAATATAAAAAATGAATACGTTAGTAAATTAATCAATAGCTTTATATTCAATAATTAATTATTTTTTTTAAATTACCTTAATATGAACGACAACATTTAAACATTAAATTTTATTTTTTTACAACTTTCAAAATTAAAACAACCCCCCAAAAATAAAAAAAGAATTTGGGGGGTATTTTTCTTTTAACTTTTAATTTATTATTTATTTTTTTAAACATAACAACATATTAACTTTTATTTTGTAAGCACGATACAACAAAAATGTCACACGTCAAATCCGGATCAAGATGGCAGCGACCTTGTGTAGCAGGCTTCTCCCAAAATCGGGTACGATTCTGGTTTGATATTATAGCAAAACATATTATTAGCGAATAACATAAATAAGCAAATACCTGCCATTTACATTTAAACTATGAACTCCATTGTAAAATTGCATGCACTTGAAAGTCACTATGAAGCTATATTGTGGAACTGGACAGCATAATCATCATCTATCAGAGAATACGCAACTCATATTTGAGGTGCTTGGCAATGTATGTTCAACTCTTCTCTGTTTACTTAATGTTGATTGGTTTATCTCTTCATATTTATCATTCTGTTATCCATGTATGCATGCTGCCACTTTGGATTTTCGGCAAACCCCTGTATCTATTTTCATGATTAAAACACCACATATGATGTTCTCATGACATTAGTGAACTTTGAATGTTAATGTACATATTCTAGCCTTAATGTTATTCTGACCAATATTTATCATGTCATTGTCAACCTACAGGATGGCTGGCTGCCATTAAGCCAGATTGTTCGTCACGGATCCAAAGCTGTCACTTGTCACAGAAAGCCAGTACACTTTCTCAAGCAGAAGCTGATGGCTGTCACAGAGTACATTCCCCCAACACCTGCAGCTCCTCCTGGTGCTCTGGCTCCACGAGTCAGGCAGACTGAAGAGGTCGACCATTGCTATACTTACAGAACACTATCTTAAGTGTGTCATTTTAAGTGTCCCTTTAACAAATATTTATCAAGTACAATGATAATATAAAATAATATGTATTATATAATATATATTATAAAATATATATAGTGTTTTAAGTGTGTAATTCTAAGTGTTCCATTAACATACATATGTATATCTCTACTCTCTTTCCTTTTAGGAAAGTGCTCTGGCAGTTTTGTTGAGAAAATACCTAGAAACCTTGTTTAAGGAATTTAAGATGATTGCCATGGTTCAAAACAATGCAATCAATGCAGAGGACCTCATGGTGCTGAAACACAAACTGAAAAGGCACAATATCAGTGTCAAGTTCTTCCCAAACCATGTAATGCCAAGTTATTGTAATGGTTACCACTATTGAGATGTAGGCTACTGCTGTGTGACATGTTGTTTGATTCTTTGTAGGTGACGAGGTCCTTTCTCAGCAACAGCATTTACAGTAACATGTGGCCTCTATTTGTTGGCCAGACTGTGATAATTGTTAGTAAAGAGCCAAAAGTTAAAGAGATGCTGCAAACGTTAAGGCACAGTCCTCAGATGGTGCTTTTAGGTGAGTGTCACTGTCCTATGCATGAACTTGCATTCTTAAAGGAATAGTTCACTCAAAAATGAAGCATTTCTGAAAATGTACTCACCCTCAGGCCATGTAAGATGTAGATGAATTTGTTTCTTCATCGGAACAGATTTGGAGAAATTCAGCATTGCATCACTTGCTCACCAGTGGAACCTCTGCAGTGAATGGGTGCCGACAGCACCAGTTCAAACAGCTGATTAAAAACATCACAATAATCCACAAGAAATCCACACAATTCCAGTCCATCAGTTCACATCTTGTGAAGCAAAAAGCTGCATGTTTGTAAGAAATTAATCCATTCTTTAAACCAGGGGTGTCTAAGGGGTTGAATTTAAACTCTGCAGGGCTCCGGCCCTCCAGGAACTGCTTTAAACCATTGGTTTTGGCCAAAATACTAGTCCATAATCCATAATAACGCTTCTACCAGTGAAAAAGTCCTGTTGTCCTCTCACATCAAAACCCACCAACATATATATTTGTTTAGAACTGTTTTTGTCTGTTTTCACTTGTAAACGGTGCTTGGTTTGTGGACATTTCTCTCCTATAATGTGAAAGCAATATTATGGATAGAGGACTCATATTAGCCAGGATGCTCCGTTTGAAGTTAAAAATATCATGATGGATTTGTTTATTAATGCAGCTTTTCGCTTCATAAGACATTCGTTGATGGACTGGAGTTGTGTGAATTACTTGTGGATCATTGTGATGTTTGGACTCTCATTCTGATGGCACCCATTCACTGCAGAAGATCTATTGTTGAGCGAGTGATGTAATGCTACATTTCTCCAAATTTGATCAGATGATCAAACAAACTACATCTTGAATGCCTTAGAACAAGTAAATTTTTCAGCAAATTTAAATTTTTGGGTGAACAATTCCTTTAACTATGAGCAATAGTAAAAGTAATTGTAAATACCACTAATTACAGTTTGACAGTAATATTCTGAGTGCCTTTTAACAAGGTCATACTTTAACAGTAGTAAATAATGACTGCGGTCAGCATTCCCGCAAAGGACTTCCCTTTTATATTATGGCATATTCACCACAATGCAAATAGGAGTTTTAATGATTTTAGCAGTTAAACTTTATAAACGCAAAACCTCTCTGGTCCAATGTGTGTACGTGTGCTTTTTACATTAACACATCATCAGTTGCCATGGTGATTGTGCAAACAGTTTCACTTGACCTGGACATTCCAAAGCAGTAATGTTCGCATGGAGAGGAGGCAGAGGTTCAGACCTTCCTTCACAAAACATCCCTTTCTATCAAAGTTGTTGGCAAGCTCGCTGCCTATGCCTCGGGGGGCAGCCTACAAATTGTGTTACTTCTAAGTATATAGTTACAGTATACTGTAAATACCAACTTCTTGTGAAATTGTCCCAAATGCAGGCCAAGGAAATGGAATGAATTAAAAAATGACAAGTATCTTGTCTGTGTTTGTTTGGATTGTAAAACGCGGTAGTACATGAAGAAAATATGTCTTAGCAACAATGATTGTAAATCTTTCACAGAGCTTTTTAAGCCAATAACCTGAGCTGTAAATGCAATGTGACTAATCCTTCTTTACCATCTTTATCATCACACCATCACAGTAAATTACCTTTAAAAATAAAAAACAGTTATTTTAAATTGTAATATTTCACAATATTACTGTATTTTAGTCAAATATATGCTGCATAAAAGATTTCTTTCAAAAATATTATATATATTATATATCATAGTTTATATCCTTTTAAATCATCAGCAGATTCCAATGTAATGACATTAATGTAAAATCCACATCAGGCTAAAAAAACAAATGCCCACACTCTATCCTTTTGAATTCATTTAACAAATGTTGCTCCCTTGGCCCTCTTTAAACTTGACATCTCCAGCACAGTAAAATATTGAACTCTAATGTTTAACCACAGCAAGTTCTAAGTAATGTCCTCTCTGCGCTTTGTGACATCGGCGGTGATACATTACTGAATTTTTAATTTCAAGCATGTGTCAGGTCAAACTGCAGGGTTAAAGTCACACAGACATTACGCTGCTCCTACTGGTGTGGATGCATTAACAACGGTGTTGTGTGAGCAAACCTGAGTGTGGCTGATTAGTAGACCTGTAGAACTCATCCATCACAAACTCAAATGCACCGCTGACCTAAATTCAGCGCTACATGCCTTACGACTACTTGCCCAGGTACACAATATACTTTTCAGCCACTTCTTCTTGAATCATTTGGGATCACTAAATGTTTAACTAACTACTGAAACATTCCTTGTCTCATAGTCAGCATGGAGAACAGTGCTGTTGTTTGTAAAGCTCACTGCTGGGTGTTACTGCATGTGCATTTAAAATATAATACGGAGGCGTTAATGCGAATAACACCCAGTAGAGAGCTGGCCCAATCAATAATGATCTAAACACAGCAACTGCTTGAGTCTGATAATAAAACATTTCTGCTGCAACCTAAGTCTAGGTTGGAGCAAAAAAAAAAAAAGAGAGAGCTAGAGAACAGTCTCTGTCTGTTTCACGGTGTGAATTTCCTACCCCAAGGGACAGTGATGTAAATGGAGACATTAAGCAAAAAGGAAAGCCCAGTAATTTCATAGCATTAGTATTACCGCACGTTCTAGTTTTATAGTGTTATCCTTATGAATCAAATAACCAGCACATGTGCACTTCCCGAAACAATAAGTGCAACAGTTTCGCACATTTACAGCTGACATTATGATACTTAGAGTAATATGACCATATAAAACAGTCCTATTCAGTAGCACAATACGCTTATTGTAGATTTTAGCATTCTCAAGCAGTTTCACATTCAACTGAAGTAGGAAAGATAGGTAAAGTTGGGATTAGCTACAATACAGTCTCCTTAAAAAGTAAAAACTACATTGAAGCTATCTAAATGAGCAATGTATAAATATCCAATTAAATTTAATCAGAACCATAGTTTTCTGGCACAAAACAATGAAAGATTATGAAGGTTTTTTAACAAACAATCCCAATTAGAGTGACATTATATTTGATCTGACAAATGTAACTAAATTCAACTAAAAAACTAGAATACTTAATTCGATAAATGTAGAGTCAAAGACACTGGTAAACTAAAAAACACTAAAATGCCATGTAGGAATTGAATTAGGGAAACTTTTTTTTTTATTATTTTTGACAACAATCATCCGAAATGAACCGATTCATTCTAATGAATCAGTTTGTTCAGTTCTTGTAAACCATCTGAATTTCCAATGCTACATATGAAACAGATAATCATTTAGAACAAAACTAATTCAATGAATCAGACATTTCAGTACTATGAGAGATTTAGGATGAAACAAAATCACTAGAACGAATCGGAATTTCCCATGCAACATATGAGAGAGAATAATTTTACAAAGAATCAGTTCATTAGATTGAACTGCTGCCATCCTAATGGAGATACTCTAATAGGTACAGAATGGGAATGAACCAATTCACTAGAATGAATCAGCTTTCCAATGCAACATATCAGTGATAAAACCATTTGGGATGAATCACTAGAATTAACTTTACTAACTTAACATTTTTTCAGTAGCGTTTTTACGCTGACATCCCAATGGAGATACTCACAGTTTTTTGATTAAAAAATTTCACCCAATAGTTTTAAAAATATATATCTGCCCCTTATTAACTTCAATGTAGTCAGCCACTTTACAGCTTGTAGTGTAACTTTTAAAGAACATCTTTACTATATATATAAAAAATAAAAAAAACTTTATCCACAAACATTCATGAATCACCATGCATAATATTCGAATCTGTTTATGCTCTCCCAGAAACTGTTTCCTATCAGAAATTGCATGTAGCTCCCTAATTGCATCGCTAACGGTCCATCTGCAAAGACTTGAAGCCCTGGCGCCACTGTTGGTTCTGTAACTATTAAGCTAAAACTGCCTCGTTCCTCCCCCCACGATACCACCAGAGACTTGGTGTGCCCATAAAGCCCATCTGCATGCGAAACCACAGGCCCATGATCTTAGCATGGATACACGGGGAAACAGTAGTCCATCCAATCCCTAAAGGCACAAGAGTGTCTTTTCTAAGATAAATACAGACGCTGCTAGGGGCTTTAAACGTATCGTCAGAGACACTGGGGGGCTGATGGGTCCAACCTGGGCTCTTAAAGCATACAGCCATTTTGAAGAGCTACTCAAGCTTAATTCCTGTGAATGCCATCTGGGAGATGTATTGTTTGCGTCCTCCGTCTGTCAGATTGCTCCGTGTGCGCCTTCTACAGCTGGAGAGCATATTTCATACTTCTGACTGCAAGAGGAGAAATGCAGGAGGGAGAGACAGGAAAAAATGCACACAAACAAAGAAGAAGAGGAATATACAACAAATCCCCCCTCTGGACCGAAGGCCCATTCAATGCATATACAATATGACGGGTAGCTCTGAAAGTCTGCTTCTCTGTCTCGCTAGGGCCCCTCAGGGGAGACTATCCCTCTCTTTTCTTCTTCTCTTCATCTCCTCCAGGCTTAGGACAGGCAGCGAGGAGAGGGAGAGAACGACAGGAGGCAATGGCTCGGAGAGCCTGAAGAAAGGAGAGGCCCACTGTAAACAGAATATTTAGATTCCTTTCAGGGTGGCTGAAAGCGTGAATTGCTCCAAAGGCATGCAGAAAGCACGGGGTGCCTGAACTGCAGGTAAAAGGTTCAGACATGGTTGCTGCAGTAACGTCTTACGTAAGGCCTCCATGATGAACCTAAATATGTCTGATTTACATGTGTGAAACAAGGAGAGAAAAGCCCTAGTCTTGTGTTGGTAAAGCCCTACATGTGCAATTAGACTTAGAGTGATATTTCAACCAAAAATGAAACTCCTTTACTCAACCTCATGTTGTTCCATACCTGTATCACTTTGTTTCTTCAATGGAAGATGTTTACCAGAAGTTCTAAAGCTACTTTCTTCCACTCAATGAAAATGAATGGTGACCAGGGGATGTCAAGGTCCAAAACTGACACTAACATTTATTTTTATGCATTATATTTTATGCATCATAAACGTAGTCTACACAACTCAGGAGCTATAAGTCTTCT